AATCATTGTTTGTCCTTTTAACCATAATTTCATAATTATTTCACGTTCTTGTCCTTCATGTAAATGATAATCACGTTCAATTGCATTCATAACATCTTGATAAGAAAGAAGATTCTATAACAATAATATTTAAAAGTACATAATTTATAACAAGAAAAAAAATTCTATTATTTTCAAAAGACTTTATACTTTTAAATTAATAGATGCAGCAACCGCAACAACTTGACTTGTTTCTAATGAACGATTTAATCGTGAATCTTGATTCGATTGAGATAAAATTGGATTTTGTTGAATAATATTTTCCATTCTATTTGTATTTTTTTTAAAATTTATTCTTAATTCTTCATGATATTCATTTATAATCTATTATGTAAGAATAATAATAATAATAATAATTTTCTATTTCTTAATAAATAAATTTTTATACTTCTTGTGATGATGAATGTTGATTGGTAATAAGTTTTTCTTCGATCCAGTTATTCTATCTGTTTGTTTTATTAATTTAATATTATGATCATGATTATTCAAAACCTCAAAGAAAATAAATATAAACCAACCTTGACAATCACGAACATCTTACTTCATTCATTTTTCCTTTTTTTTTTCTCTCTTTCTCTCGTCTTTTCTCTTGATAAATAAATCAAAACAACAAAAGAAATGATGTATGTATATGCACACAAAAATTGAAACATACAGACAAGAAAAAAAGAAAGAATTTGAAAGAAATAAAAATTTATATACATTTTGTTGTTGTTATTCGTTTGAATAATTTTTAATATATTGAAACTAAAATGAAGCAAATGATTGTATAATTAATGTTCAAAAAAACACTTTAGATCAATTCTCTATATTGACTTCCTTCATACTAAAACATCAATGAGAGAATTGTCAGTCGATACAAAACAATCCCTTCTTTTTTTTTGTTGTATACCGTTACATTTTCCCCTTCAGACTAGTAATTTAGAAAAAGAAATCAACAAGATGCAACGATATTATTATTTGTCCATTTAGAGACATACTCTATAAAGAAGAAGAAAAATGACAATATATATATATTCAAATGAAAGGTTGCTGTTCGATATATCGACATGAAGTAGATGATAAGAAAAAACAACAATATAACATAAGAATAAAAATAATATGCAGACACTTAGAAATGAATTCGTTTAAGGCCCCCTCAAAAACCGATCTCATCGCATTTACGTTCAAATGGGCTGAAATTTGGAGCATATGTTGCGACTGAAGTGAGGAGGCTATGGTAAAATTTTCGTTCTTGGTGGAAAACGTCGAAAAGGAAAATGTCGAAAAGGAAAACGTCGAAAAAAAGATAAAGAAAATATCCATATATGGAAGTTTTCTTTATCTTTTTTTCGACGTTTTCCTTTTCGACATTTTTCTTTTCGACGTTTTCCAACAACACCCAATTTTCTGCTCGATTTACTGACGTTTGACGGAGATATGAACCAAACAAGGGTCAAAAAATAGGTCATCTTAGCCCCAAAAAATCTCCATGGCCCTTCATTACATATACAATTTTTTTTTGGTTTGAAAGCTTGTCTCTAGGGCTAGCCGGGTGTGGGTGTGGGTGTGGCTGGGTGTGGGTGAGGTGTGGGTGTGGGTGTCGGTGTGGGTGTGGGTGTGGATGGGGTGTGGGGTGGGG